AGTTTTTGTAATTACCTGGAGTAAGTAGCTGGACAGGCTAGAAGGGAAGGAAGATCTTACCTACGCATTCCAGATTGCTCTGAGGTCTAGTATAGCTTGAAAAATACAGCCGTAAAGATTCATGCATGTTACATCTGGGAGAAAGACACTGGCAAGCTCTGGTTGAATCTCTGGACTCCTTTCTGCCCAGATTCCAGAAGTACAGAAATAAAGGGCAATCTAGAACACACGTGGTGGGCTGCTTAACAGGGACATGTTCAGTAAACTAAATTATTAATCTAGTGTTGTTATTAATCTAGTGTTTTCATAAGTAAAAACGTTCTGCTGACATCAGTTCTCCAAGTGATCTTGAGATGCAGCTGCTGTGTCTGCCTGATACCGCAGTCTCCTCTGGGCACTGTTACGGCTGCGTACACCATACATGAAGCACACAAGGCGGGGGAGCTGATTAGGTGTCTGTGGGCTCATGCAGAACTGAAAGGATCTGCCTTTTTTATTTTAGCAAACTTTTCCTACCCATACAGTAAGGAAGATATTTTTGTTGTTATACCAAATGACCTATATATACTTCATGTAGATTTTAAAAGTTATTTTGCTGGCATTTCAGAATGATTTAACTTTAAGCTTAAATAAACATATCAATAGAATATATTTTGCTACTGTAATCTTTGTGTAAGTATGGTGTACAGCTGAAGTTCTTGATTCAAATGAATAATTTGAAAATCCAGGGTAGGGATCAGGAACGTAAATCAGGTACCTAGTGACACTGTGCCCTAGCTGTTTCACCAGAGCGTGCAGGTCCCCGACAGCTTCTCTGTCCTTTCTGCCAGGCCACCTCTCAGAAAATTAGCCTGGGGTGTCTGAAATGTCAGTGTGTTTGACAACTGACTGCCTTTAATGACTTCATCTACTTAACATCTTTAGAACAACAGATAGCTATCCTGGTATGTTAATTAGACATAATGGGAAATGTCTCTCTATTTTCTGGTTATATTTGAAATCCAGCCTGGCAAGCATAAAAATAAAATTAAGTAGAAAAAAGCGGACAATCCACTAAAGCTTACTGAACATACCTGCAAAGGTCTCGTGTTGTTTGCATGTTGACTCTACCTGAAAGCCTTTTGGTGATATACTATAATTAAAATTTAGAAAAAGTGCCTTTTGCCAGCAGAAAGTATCATCCAGGTACAGTCACATGCAATTTTAAACTTCTTTTCCCCTCAGAGTATAGTCAGTAACTGACAACTTGAACATAATGTTTCTTCATGCAGTATTACCCAGAGGGAAGCGGTGGCAGGTGGAAAAGTCTGTTCTTTATTATCTCAAAGAACAGTCTCAAGGAAGAGAAAGCAGGTTTTTTTTAAGGAGCAAACCCTTGATTTTAGAGATTGAGATTATGTTATTTGAAACAATGGAGTTTGCCAGCAGAAGGGTAGGGGTAAGTGCAGTGATATCTTGGGCTGGGCTGGTCTGCTATAGCGACCGCCTCGCCACATCCCCGGCAGGGCCACCCCTTGGCAGAACTGCATCCAAACCGGCAATTTCACCAACGCAGCAACGTCAGTCTAGATGACACACACTGTGGCAAAGGTCTAAAAATGTTGGATGGTGTCATGTAGAATGGGCAAAGGTCTAAATGTGTTGAATGGGGTCGTGCAGGGGGGCCAAAGGTCTAGGTATGTTGATCTGAAGCCAGCTCTATGTAAGAGTGTTGCTCATCTATGTTGGGATGCCTGCTATCAAGGGCTTTGATATCTGCTATGTATAAATACATTGTGAAGCCATATTCCATGCGATATTGTAGAGGATAGAAGGGTATGTGGGTTCAACAACAATGTAGCTGGAAGAAAAAAAAAAGAAAAAAAAAAGAATGGAGGCCCTACCTGCTGGCAGTTACTCAGGTGCAAATTTCAGGGGAAGGGGTGTCCAAGCAGCCAGTTGATCTTTCTGAAATGTACTCTCAGCTTCCAGTAAACCTGATTGCCCTGCCTGAGTACTTTTTTTCTCAACCAGAAACAGGATACAGATTTCAAAAGACAGAGCTTGCCTTGTGTCTCATTGGGACTGCACAACCTTCTCTGTTTTGAGCAACCACCAAGAGGCTTATGCAAGTGGTATGTGGAGCAGAGTGTGTGTGGATGTGTTCTGGCACGATTTCATTAGTCTGAATACGTTTACATTGCCCATCAGAAAGGGCTGAAGCAGTGATTAACATGTCAGTTTTTACTTCTGTGAATATTTATTTCAAAGTAACATTAAAGTATTGAAAGAGTCCTGCAGCGTTAGCTGGTGTATTACTGCTGTAGAACTGCTGCTAACATTTTAACCAGTTTTAAGTTATGGTCGTCGTCTTTAGAAATGCTTGTTGTAACAAAGTCCCAGAGGAGCAGCTGGCCCTCTTCAGTTGAAAAATGAGGCACAATCTCAAGGAATTAGCCCAGCAGTTAGATGCATGCCTTTCAGAGTGGAGACTCTTTGGAAAAGGGGATTTTGGGGAGGGCTGGGAGATGGAATAGAGTAGCAGCAATTTGTGTGTGTGCACACACTTCCTTACAGTAAAATCTTTGATATTGTTACTTGGGCAGTTTCCTTATGCTTCTGCAAGTCTGGGAATAAAGGGTTATTAGAGAATTTTCTGTCAGTGTCTCTTTGTATTCATTACTCCAGTTGACAGAAGGCACAACCAGCCTGTGTTTACATCCTGACTCTTAAACGTGCCGCTTGCCGCTATACACCTTTCTACCTGAGGGATCAGACACTTGGCTGTAAATATGAGGAAAGCTCACGATATAGATGAGTATACAGAATGCTAACCTGAGGTCACTTGCCACAGTGATAAGCTTTTTTGCTGTGGGGTTTTCTTTTTCATTCAAGCCTTGTTCTGCCCTCTGCTGACAGCTCATGTTATGAAACAGAGATGGTGTTGCGTTCTTTTCATGGCAGTTGCCTGTGCTAGCTTGCTGTTTGCAGTCTGCTTTACCAAACAGAATTTGAATTCCTGTCATTAATCAAATTTCTCACCACAGGTAACTGTTGTGCTCATTACATTTAGAATGTATATTATATGAAGATGTGTAATAAATACGCTAATTTTGGCCTTAGAAAATCATCCCAAGCTACAACTTATTACCCAGGGAATAGTTATTCTGTCCTTCAAAGCTAAATTTATTTTCTGAAGGCAAGAAAATTTCTGGGTTTTGGCAGGCATGCTGATTCTTGAAGTCAAGTACTTGACTTAAGAAATGCTAGTACTAAGGATGCCCGTGCTATTTTAATGCTACCCTTGCCACATGCACATGCGTTTAATGACTGTGCTCATTAGATTGTGTACTATTTTCCTCCACACTTTTTTTTGCACATTAGTGTGTTGCACATGTAATGAGCAGCGATTCCATGTATTTGTTGCTTCACCTGTGACATAGCCAAGTCTGGAGTCCTGTTCTCCAAGACAGACTTCAGATTGTAGTTCTGTGTACTTTCTAGTTTCAGAAAGAAATGAAGCAAGAAACACTAATCGCTTTGAACTTGGCTCACCTCTTGAGGAGGTTCATCCTGTGCACTGAATAAGTGAAGGGACCTGAAAGGAAAAAATGCATAACATATGTGTAAAAGGAGGGAAAACAAGGATTGTGCAGACTGCTTCAATTCTGATACATTCTTGTTTCTTAAGTATCTGGCATTACAGCCTTGATCTTCTTTTAATATTACCTGGGTGAGGTTGAGACATCCAAAGTCTTGAGAAAGCCAAAATGAAAAATTGTGCATCAACTTTGGGATAGCTATGGCAGTTGTGAGCAAGGTCAGAAGTTTTAGATCCACTTCTGCCAGTTGTGTTCATGAAGCAATCAAAGTAGAGATTAGTTTGCTGTAGTTTTATTGACAAGCATAATGGGACATATTTTTGCCAGTGGGTTTCATAGATAGTTGCTGAAAGGAGGAGGAAAGCGATGAGAGTTGGTGCAGGATTTTTGTGAACGTAATCCGTGGGCATGGACTGTCTTACTGTTCCTCTCCTCATCCCTCCAGCTTATCCCCATCCTGGTTTCCATATGTCAGGTTCCACCTCTCTGTCTGAGTTATATCCCTTGCTGTGGAAAACCTTAGCTCCTGCCTCTGCTTGCCTCTACGGCTTTCTCTAGCCTCCACTTGCTTCCAAGCTCAGTCTTCCCTCCTTGGGCTCTTGATCCAGTCTTGATTTCACCTCCTCTGCTGCTTCTAGCCTAAATTGTAGGTTTCAAGCTGTTTTGACTTTCAGATTGCTGAAAAAACTTTTCATTGGAGCTGTAATTTAACTATGCTGACAAAGGGATTCCCTTACTTGGCTATTTATTGCATGCCCCTTCAAAGTAGTTGCAAACTTTCACTGTGGTTGCTTTACTGAGCCACCTCCCCTTCTCTCCTCCCTGGTTGTCAAATCTGACAATAAATGGCAGCCAAACCAACAAACAAGTGGACTAGTATGGAAGTAGGATGAGTCTTCAGTAATAAATAGATATTTATTTGACCTACAAATTCTAGTCGTAATTAACCAGTTGAGAGCTATAATCACGATTTTCCAGAGGCTGGCTGCCATCAGGTAGTCACCGTCTGTGTGTGCAAAGGAGGATTAGAGCTGGTGTTTGAAGGTGCTGCTTGGGGAAAAAGCAAGCTGTTATTCTAATGGGGGACAGCTGAGACCTGCGTTTTTCACCAGGCACAAGGGACCACCGAGACTGGTTTTCAGCCTTCCTGCAGAACAGTGCATTTTACAGAAAGGCACTTGCTATGCAAAATCTTTGCTCTGGTGGACAGGATGCACTGAGAGAGGAGACTGCAAGTGTGACTTTTCAGGAGGAGAGTCAGGGTTATGGTCTAAGTAACTTTTCCACCTGTATTTATCTGATAAAATTAACAACTGCAGTTCTTACAGACAAAGGAAACAGGACTTAATTATAATTCAGTAACTCAGTAGGGAGCCCAAATAATGATTGCAAAGGATGTAAACTGTGCTGTGAGACACCATGCCTTTTTGCACTGTAGTCCTGCTAAGGCCCCAGGAGATCCTGAAAACAAAGAGAGAAATGAGGGCACTGGAGGAGGCCCTTTCGGCTCTAGCTGATCTATCAAGTCACTGGCTGAAGCCTGCCAGAGAGCATGGGCTGGTGAGCTTACCTGTGGTATTGCCGAAGGTCCACGTAAGAGCCTGCCTAGGTCCGGCCGGCTGCTCGTTCCAGGGCAGGCAGGTAACCCCGAGGCACCTCGTGTGTCACACTCTGCCCGCCTGCTTTAATTGCACTTTTTGGTGGCTCACGCTGCACAAAGAACTAGGGTGTCTGGATCTGGGTAGAAAACATCCTTAGGCAACCTCCTCCCAAACAAATAACCTGCTTTTAGATACTGACTCGAGGAGGAAACAGTGTTTCCTACCTGGAAAAGAGGGCAGGAGGGCTGCTGCCTCCTTTGCCCCATCCAGTGCTAATTGCTGGTTGTTGAAATGAGTGGTGCTAGTGGTTTCCTGTGGGCAGGGGAGCTATGAGGCTGTGATTAGCCATAAATATGAAGGCTGGGATTCCATATAGCATTAAACTGTAAGAGAGCCACGTATCGCTTTTACTGCTTTCCTGAACGACCTTTTTCTCTTAGCCAAAAACTTTAAAATGAGGTTATTAACAAAGATGAATACATGTTAATTGCATCCTTATGGTTTTCTTATGTTTTTTCCTAAGAAATTTTTAAAACAAGACTAATAGCATGCTTGCTAGCTCTAAGAAGAAGAGCCAGGCATTTACACTGAGAAACTGTGCTTGGAGTTCGACAGTAGGTAGGAGGCTGTGATCAAGATGTATCCAAATCCCAGCTTGTTAACCTGCCTGCATACAAGTGCAAAATCATTTTTATTGTTGGAATTGTTAAATGCAGTAACTATGATTTATTTTTGGTGGGTTTTTTTAGCTCTCTTGGATGCTTCTTTAGTTTTACTAACACTTTCCCCCCCCCCCTGCCCTGACTTCAGCCATTGATGGATTTCTAAAAACCGATGAAAGACAAAGACTGGCAAAGGAGAGAAGAGAAGAAAGGGAGAAATACCTTGGTAAGATCGCAGGAGGCGTATGTATTATTTATGTATATGTGTTAATAGCCTTAAGTTACTAACATAACATATTTTCCTGTTCTGAATTTTAAACACTGTGGTTCAGTCTGTTCCTAGTCTTTATTGCTTATGATGCTATTTTTAAATTAAGTAATAAAAAATAACCTATGTCGTCTTTGATTTCCATTTGAGCATTTAATATTCTATAGCTAAAAGTTTACTTTCTTCTTTGATGTATGTACTTTTGAATATAGGTTTATGAGCAAGATATCAACTGTAAGGATTCTGATTTGTAAAAATACCAAATAAGCCTTGAATAATACTCAGGATAATATGTAGGATGATTTGGTGAAACAGCCTCAATTTTAGTCTAAGTTCTACCCATATTAAAAGATATCATAGAGTTGTTAAGTACAGCATAAAGCAGATACTTTTCCATAAGTTTTAAAATTATTAATCTTTCAAGAGAATGAAAAAAATAATTAATTTCCTGAATGACATAAACATTGATTTCAGAGTTTTTAAAATAGTTAGTTGGTTTTAATATACTAATACCTCCAGGGAAACGTGGAGGAAATTTCACAATTTCATATATATATATAGAGAGAGAGAGAGAGAGAGAGATCATGTGTGTACAGTTCATTTCATATATATATATACACACACACAAATGAAATTAACTGTTCAACATTGTTTTGTGCTTTCCATATATTCAGAGGTGTGTGTGTATATATATAAAAAAAAGTTGAACAGTTAATTTAACTTTTCCTCATTGTAATAACAAGAAAGGCCAATAGCACTGTTCCTTAAGGTTACCTGACAATACCTATCAGATGGAATTGTCAGTGTTTTATGATTCTGTAAAAATTTAAGTTAGGGGTATATTTTGAGGAAATGTCAACTAAAACAGTATGGACACCTGTGAAAAGAATCATAAGAAAATGCTGTTTTTCTTGCAATAAACAAACAAACCACTGACCATTTCTTGACAAAAACTAAGCCTTGAGACCAGTAACTTGACATTTTTTAGTTCTGTGAGCTTGGTGAGCAAGATTCCTTTTGTAGTTCCTGAGGAAAATCTGCTGGTGTTCAGTACATAATCTCCCCAGAGGTTCAATCTATATGGAGCATGCAGCAGCCTGAGTTGTAGCTTACATCTCTGCCAGGTATACTCAGTCCAGACTATCTTCTGTTTTCTCAATTATCCCTTCTCTGCTGGTTCCCGAGAAAGTGACATGACAAGTAGATTGGAAAGGACTTGGATTAAAAAGCAGAAGAGCAGATGAGAGGAAAACTGAAAGCTGGAGAATCTGGGAGTGGTTGGCCCAGGGAATTTGAAAGGCGTTGGCTGCAGTTCTTTTCTCCAGACATCGTACACGCTTTCTGGAAACATACTTTTTTATGATTAAGACAAGTTCTAGAATGGGAAGCTCCGGGTTTTGGCTACAGCAGCTATTTGTCTGTGGCAAATTTCTTTTAGAAAAGCAGCAAGTTGCCAGAAGGACAGACCTTTATGCAGCCAGTAGGTACTTTGCAGCAATATAGAATAAACTTCTCATCAAAGCCAAAACTCATTAATCAATGGTTTAGTATCTTTAAATTAAGGAACAAGAATTGTATCTATGTCTGTGATGACAGAATGGCTTGCTTCTCCATCCAGAATCAGTCCCAGATTTCACCCACTTACTCAGAAGGTAATCTTAGCACGATCTTTGGACCCTTGTTGTGGTTTAACCCAGCAGGCAGCTAAAACAACCTCACAGCCATTTGCTCACTCCCCACCCTGCCCCAGTGGGATGAGGGAGAAAATCGGGGGGGAGGGGGGTGGAGGGAAGTAAAACTCATGGGTTGAGATAAAGACAGTTTAATATGACAGAAAGAGAACAGAATAATAATAATGATAAAAGAATATACCAAGCAAGTGATGAACAGCACAACTGCTCACCACTCGCTGACTACCGATGCTCAGCTAGTTCCCAAGCTGTGGTCCAGCCCCTGACCAGCTTCCCCCAAGTTATATGCTGAGCATGATGTTGTATGGTATAGAATATTCCTTTGGCCAGTTTGGGTCAGCTGTCCTCACCAAGTCCCCTCTCAGCTTCTTGTGTACCTCCAGCCTTCTTGTTGGCAGAGTAGTACTGGAAGCTGAAAAGTCCTTGACTACTTGGTAACATAGAATTACAGAATCATAGAATGGTTTGGGTTGGAAGGGACCTCAAAGATCATCTAGTTCCAACCCCCCTGTCATGGGCAGGGAACCCCCTAAACATCTAAAATGTCAGTGTGTTATCAACATTATTCTCATCCTAAATCCAAACCACAGCACAATACCTGCTACTAGGAAGAAAATTAACTCTATCCCAGCTGAAACCAGGACAACACCTCACTTTATTTTTGTTTTTTATCAACTCCAGCATGCTGGTTTCACCTGCTCTACCTGACCTGGCTAGTAGTCATTAACAATTAGTGACTGGTCATTTGTCTTCCACTGTAAGGTGGTAATTCTTTATCTCTTGACAAGTCTGATTCTTCATGCTTATGAGTCCAGGCTTGCCTGCAGTACTGACACCCCTCTCTTACTGCCCTGTTCTACAGAGTGGAGGGAGAAACAGTGAGTTCTTATAAAGCAAAAGGGGAAGACATCATCAACCTTTTTTTTAATTATTATTTTTAGAAAGAATAAGGTGGAAGGTGTTTTGTAGAACAGGTTGGACATGAGGAAGAAGTATCTTATGAAGGTCTGGTAGTCAAGGGAAAGAAATACAACTGTTGGAAAAGGATCTGGTGTTGGTGGGGACTCTGGCTCTAAACCAGGGGCTTGGGGATGGAGTGGGGCTAGAAGGGACTGAAGGTTGCAGCTGTGGCTAAAGAGCCTGGAAGCAGGAGCTGAAGGGAAGAGGCTAATCTGAGAAGAGGGAATTGAGATGGCTGGACAAGAGCCTAGGACTGATGGGAAGATGTTGAGAGAGAGTCAGAAGGGCAAAAATTTGCTGTACAAGGAACTGAAAAACCAGACTGAGGCTGAACAGGTGAGCAGGATGAAGGACTAGCTTTTGTATAAACAGTGTTAATTCTGGCTTTCTCTAACTTTCAAGTTCTTAGCCTGGCAACTGTGAGAATATTCCTTCTTTGATATTGGCTGTATGTGTGTTGGTATGTGACATTACAGGCTTGTGTGTGTATGTAGGCATGCTTACTGAAGTCCTCTTTCTTGCCTCTTTATGGAATACACTTGCATGAGAAGTGGATTTTTCCTCATAATTTGTCACATTAACTTCTGCTACTTGTTACCTTATGTAAACCTGAAGCAACAGTCCTGTATGTAGTGTGGCAGTCTGAATTTCTGTAACAACGACCTAATGTCTCAAGAAGATTATGAGTCTAGTTGGAATAAACAACTGGGCAAACCCTCAGTAAACAGAAGTATTTTTTTTTTAATGTGAAGAAGCAGAAGTGGATAATGATGTTGCACCAAATTATGAACAGAATGGTGTATTTTCAAAGCTTTGTAGAAAATTTAGCATATTTTTAAATGTATTTATTTTGAAGACAGCCCCATAATAACAAGCACACTTTCAAAGAAATTCCAAGGGCTTTTGCTTCAACATGTATAACTGATTCACTTTAAAACCTACTGGGAACATTTGTTATGTCTGAAAAGAATTTGGCTTTAAGCTGCAGACAGATTTGAAACATGAACAAAAAAGAGTTGTTAACTCTTCTGTACACTGTTTTTACATAGGTAAGGGGCACAAACTGTCACCTTGTGTACAAAGGGCTTCCCTGTTTGTTTATTGAGCAAATCACTTAGATTTACTAATCATTCCAGCACTTCTGTGCACTATATTTTTGACCTTAGTGGACTAAAACCCTGTGTACTTGCATTTGTTGTTTTACACTATTGTGTCATGTTATCAGATAATTTTAAAGCTGAAGAAAATTTGCATAAAGTAAAATGCACCTTTTTTTCTACCCAAGCTGCTAGGGAACAGCAGATACTGGAGAAGGAGAGAAGAGCAAAACTTCAATATGAAAAGCAAATGGAGGAGCGATGGAGAAGACTGGAGGAACAGAGGCAGAGAGAGGAGCAGAAGAGAGCAGCTGTTGAAGAAAAACGGAGACAAAAGCTTAAAGAGGAGGAGGTAAGGTCCACTGGGGGATGTATGGGAGAGTAACTCTGTATGGTAGCATTAAACATATAGCTGAATATCAACAAGTATTAAACGTTGATTTCCCCCCCCCCGCTGGAGACATATGGGCATTACTTTTGGAACTGCAATCGCACATTACCACAGCTACAAGTACTCTACTACTGCTTGTACATCAGAAACACTTTCCAAAGCTTTTTTGTCTCTTGTTTTTTGGGTGGGTTTTTTTTTGTCTGATCTCACAGAATAGTCATCTACTTATGCTAACATATCTGGGACTCTGACTGTCAGACAATAAAGCACCAGCTTTCCAGAAGGTAGTCTTTAAAGATGAGTGTTTCCATAAAAGGGAAAGATTTTTCTTACTGTGTTGTTTACTGTCTGTGAAAATGAAATAATGCTTATGAAAATGTGTTGTTTTGTTTTTCCTCGGTGACATAAAATCAGAAATTCTTACCTAAAGAAGTGAAGAATCTAGGCTGGTTTAAAATTCTAGCACAGAACAGAATTAATCACCTATCTTTTGAAGCATCTTCCTGCCCTTCCTCTCTTCTACTCTCCCTGCTGAGATCATTTAAGATTCTTTGTTGCTCTAGTGAGTCCAATTTCTGATGCAGATCTCTGAATGCAGTGTGTGCATCTCTCCGCATGACATTCTGTAGAAAACACTAGCGCTGCTACTGCAACTGATAAAGAATTAATGATTTTTTTAGAAATGGGGGCAGTGGTTTGAAAAAAAAAAAAAAAAAGGCCAGAAGAAGGTATTTCTCTAGTTCCTAGATTAAAAGGCTCTAGAAATACACAGTTATTAACCTTACTTTTTTTTCTGCCCTCCCATCTTTTTGTCAAAATATCTTTGCAAAAGAGGTAAAACACTTCTGCATGGGATCATATCTTTGCAAAAGAGGTAAAACACTTCTGCATGGGATCAGAGTAACATACTGCTGTCCGTTGAAATTTTTTTAGTTGTTTGATTTTTCACTTAAACTTGAAGGGCAGATTATATTCTGCCATTCCTCTTTCAACTGTAACATACTGATTGTGGCTTCTGCATAGTGGCTGAGAATTCATTTTAAAATCTTTTGTCATGTGGTTTGTTTCAATTTTTGTTAAGAAAAATGGGAAAAAGAGAAACAAAAGGTTGGAGGTATCTCTCCTTCTGTGGTAACATCGTTGACCTGATGTGCTCCTGCTCTGGTATTTCCTGCTGTAATAACCTTTTGCAGCTAAGCAAAATTGATCCACTTTATAGGGTTTGTAAGGGAAAGTGGCAAGTACAAAAACTTTGAAAACCCTGTCCTCAAAATTTGCACTGGAGGGGGGCTGAGGAGGGGGAGAGGTGTAGGAAGAGCGAGCAAGTGCCTGCTTTCCCTGCCTGCATAGTTTGCCTGCGCTGGAGAAATGAGAGCAGGGTGGTTGGACATGAGAGGCTGTGCCTGGTCAGACCCAGAGGGTCTGTTTGTTGGGGACCCAGTGTCCTGTAGCAGCCCCCTGCCCTTGCCCAGAGATGGATGCAAGAGGCTGAGCACACAGTGATGTTTCTCCCAAGCATCAGCAAGCCTGTTACAACTCCCCAACACTCTGTGTATGTGATGGGAGACTTCTGTCATGACAAGAGAAAGGCTGCCTCCAAGTGTTTGGTCATAATACAAATACCCCTCCTAGCTCTGCTCACTGAGCTGGTCCTTCAAGGTTAAACTGTCCAAAGCCTTTTGGGAGCCAAGGCAGCCCCAGGCCTGGTTCCTTTCCCTTCCTTTTCCTTTTCTTCCTCACCCTTCCCCCAGGTTGAGGAACCTGAGAAAATGTTACGTGGGCTTGAGGACATGAGAGGATGCTTGCTTGTTTGGGGATGGATTAGAACTGGTGGGAGGAAAAATCCAGGAACCTCTGAAGGAGGGGAGGGTACATAGGAGAATAATCTGTAGAACAGGGGAGGATGAGGGAAGAAGAAAACTGGGAAAAAGAGATGCCACCATCTCCTTGCTTCCCTTCATGGTTACTTGTCATTCCCTCATTTCTTGAATTCCACTAAAGGATCTGCCAAATCCCCCTCACCTCCCCCAGCTCTTCAGATGAGCCCCATAAACCATGTATGCTTAGTAGCAGTGGAGGCCTGAGTAAGGATAGTGATGAAGTTGCAGCTCCCTGGGCATTGTAAATTACTCACTGCTCATGAGTCATTCTGGACATTTGAGGCCTTCTTTACTGGAAGAGCTTTGAATCTGTATTTCCTACACCTGTGGGGTGGGGGGGTTGTGCCCTGGCCAGTGAGCCAGTATACTGCAGCATGTCCTCAGTGTTTCTCCTTTTAACACTGGTTTACACTGGGTGGGGACTGGAGCACTCATTTTGCCTGCTCATCAGGTGTCTGAAGTGCCAAGTAGATTTTCTTCCTTGCTCTCTGCCTTATTGGTTGCCCTTTGTCTTCTGTAAGTCTTTTTTCCTTGCTTTTTAACACAGCAGAAGGCAGTGCGTGTTTGTGATAAGAACAGGCTATATAAATCTCTCTCTAGGAAATACGGTTGTTGTATCTAAAAGTTTGAGATGAATGGCTCTTAAACTGCTGGGATTTGTTGGCTTCCTACGTCAGAGCTTCCTCTGTTTCACAGTTCTGCATGCAAAGGACTTCTCAAAGAGGAGGTGGCTAAAGTTCAATTTATTTTGCTTACTTTTTCCCCTCTACAGTGCCAGTTAAGAGGTGGTGGTTTTAAAGTCTGTGTTGATGGGAGTGGAGCTGTTCTGGCAAAGTTCTCCTCTGGGGCAGCTGGAACTTGTTGCAGAGCGCAGTGAAAGTGTGTCCAATTCCTCAGACAGGAACAGAATAAATGTGTCTGAAAACCATCCTGTCTGCACTGACTGCACCTTTCTTATCTGTAGAGGCCTTCAGTAGCACTGCCCCTCCCTCAGTATTGTACAGCTGCCTGCTTCCTTTAGTAAAAGCAGTCTCTGAGCCTTGAGGAAGGCAGCATGTTGTTGTTCAGCAGAAGCTATTAAAGAGTTGCTTTTAACAGTAAGTAGCCAGTGGCTTTATGGCTAGATAATAGCAAAGCTAGTCCTCATTCAGTTAAAATAATTTTTTCCCTTTCCCTATCTTGAACTTCTGTGTGACTTGGAAATGCCTTGCAAATAAATGTCTAGCAGTACACAGAGTATCGGGAAGTCTCCATAGAAGCGGTGTTCTTCTACTGCTCTTGTATTCCATAAGACAATATGAACATCACTTGTATGGGCCATGTCAAGGATGCTAGCGTGAATAAGAGCAATAACATCCATCTAGTCAAAGATCCTAAAACCATCAGATTTTGTTAAAAAGGAAATCGATAAAATTCGTACTGATCCTACCAATATACTAATGTTTAAATGGACCACTACTGGTAGACTGCATCAAATCTAATCCAACACTCAGACTTGAAAGATTGATGTAACAACTGCTAAATGGAAAAGAATATCCTGCAGCATTGGAGAGATTATTTTGGTGCGCATGCACTATTTGTTACATTTGTAAAAATTATGCACTTAAACACAAGAGAGCAAAAAAGTCTCAAGATGTTATAGCATTAATTACTTACTATATTATAATTCAAAGTTAATTACTTTTTGAATTATAATATATGGAAATAATAACCGCTTTCCAAACCTCTTTTGCAATTCATATACTGAGTTGTACAAGTAATACAAAAATTCTGCTAGAAACTATTTGAGATTGCTATGCAAGCAGTCTCTCAAGTTGCTGTACGGTGGAGATGAGAAGAGTTTAGTCCTCACTGCGACATCAACTGTCCTCTGCTCCCCCCTGCCACTAGTTGCTTCTGCAGCTTTTCACGTACCTTAGCACAGAACCTTCATTTGTCCCGTGTTGTTCTCTGATGCACACACCCTTAATAAATTTTCCCTTTCTGCACACCCGTAACTAATTGGTTGCGAGTAGAAATGAGTTCTGTTCAGAAAGGTAGTTAAATTTAAAATTAGTGTATTGCTTTTTAATGCATTCGTTAAGTAGAAAATAACAGCTCTTTTGTTGCTATGTGGAAGAGCCACTCGAAAGATGAAACCAACTGATAATATCGGGAAACAAGGAGATACTTACATACAGTGCTGATGAATATATTAAGTGAAGAGGAATAGGTTTATTGGACTCTTTTAGATGTTTGTACTGTAGGTATAACGCAGATTGTTTGGAATTGTTTGCACAAATTATTTTAAGTCATAATACAGTAAAATGAATTTTTTCCTTGTTTTTACATCTGTATCATCTTTTACATAGACAAAAGGAAAGTGCTTCAGTCAAATTACTTGTATTCTCACTATTAGGTTTTGGGTTTGTTTGGTTTTGGGTTTGTTTTGGTGGTTGTTGGTGTTTTTTTTTTAAATTCAGATAGTGTAAATGTTTGTTCTGATGCTTAGTCTGAGGAAAACCTGGATGAGTAACTATGGATTTTGGAAAGTAACATGTATATTTGAGATACTAGCAGTAGATGGCTCTCTTTTTATGGGTTTATTCATTCTTAATTTAACCTACATGCAAAGCTTGTGCACTATAGGGTTTTTTTTTTGTGGAAGCTCACTATGTCTTTAGTGCAGAGATTATTTCCTCTATCTATAGCTGTGGATAGTTTGATATGTTTTTAAGAAGGTACTTCATCTATGACATAGAGAGGAAGGTTTTGCACATTGTTTGCTGATGAAGGAATGCTTTGTCTTCATGTTTAGTTTTTGTCACAGGCTAAATTATTAATGTACGAGTTGTTTATGCTATGCTTCCATGTGTCTTATTGTTTTCTTTGGCTTTTTAGTTTTATGCCAGCTTAAAATGTTTTAAAAGAACTATCCTTTCTTTATGAAAAATGTCCTTCATATTGTTCTTTATCTAAACTATATCTGCAGGGTTTCATGAGGTTTAATAATTATGTTCTATAGTGCTTTAATGAAAGGCTCTTTGCAGATGAAAATGAACGATCCTCTCCACATCATGTAACTGAAGATTTCAACCTCAGATTGTAGGTAGCATGAGCTTTCAAGTATGTATGAAAGAGCATTTAATTTCTTTAATCTATTTCATCGTACATTTTATTCTTAAAACGGCGCTTTCATAGTAAGTGGTATAAGTGTATTCTGTGGTTTGCAAACTACAGAATATTGCTGGTCCTTGCTCCAAGCAGCATTAAAAAAAAACAAAACCAAACCAAAACCAAACAAAAACAAAACCCAAACATAAATCACCCAGATAATTGAAACTTGACTGCTTTCATCATATTTTTTTTTTATTAATGTACAACAATATTCATTAGACTCGGAAAGAAAGAAAGAAAGATTCAGTGTAAGTGTATGCTTTAATGAGAAAGAAATGGAAGGGTCATTTTCCTTTGTGAAGACTGTGGGTAGAAAGGTACATTGGGGCAAGATGCACAGTAGAATAAAGTAATGAAAAGCAGCAGACTGCAGAGAAGAACTGGTGATGAAATAGGAGGTGAGGTTTGAAAAGAGTAAGTACAGAAAAGGGACTCAAACAGAATTAAATTAATGTTGGGAGGTGGGAAGTTAGATGCAAAAACTGTGAACTGGAAATGCAAAGCCAGCACACGCAGGTTTTAAACATGAAAACTGCAACATCAATTAGTAAGGAAGACTGTACTAAACTAAATCAGAGGGGAGTGACTTTGGATTCCAGAGACTGGAAGATGGCTTTCTTTTCACATCCAAAGTACAGACAAGAAGTGATAGGGTATTCAAAACTGTGTTTTTCTCTGCTGTTGCAGAAGAGGCTGTGCTTGAGCTTTGTGATGCTTTGTGTGTTTGCTCTATAGGGAGAAAAAGGAGGAGGGCAGAGGTAGAGAGAGCGTTTGCGTGCCTGCCTGGACACTGATGGCACTGACTAGACAGAAGGGGGGAAGAAGGGGGGAGGGAGGGCAAGGAAGCAGCTGTCTGCTTTCAGTGGTCTTTGAATGATGTTACCTTATAGACCCTGAGCTAAAGATGTAGAAGGGAGACAAAACTGAAGTGAGAGCTCAAAACACGCCCAAAAGAAAGATTATTTTCCTGGAGATGGCAGCAGCAATTGTAACAGCAGGGTGGGTTACCTGGCCGAAAGGTAACAGGAACAGGAGAGCTGAGAATGATAGAAAGGGTATGCGAGACTTGCCTTTTTTCACTCTTTGTGTAGAGGATACTATAATGGAATTCTTTATGGTACACATGATTTGTAATAAGAGATCTTAAAGACAAAAGGTAGTGGTTTGCTGTCGAAATTGATGGATAATTGGTAGCAGGGTTGGATGAGGTGGAAAAAATGAGGCCACAAATAAATTACCAGAAGTCATAGTAGTAGAAGAGATTCTTCAAAGACATGGAAGAGACTAAAAGTATATTGCAGACAACCAGAAGACAAGAAGGCATCTGGTGGTGTAGAAAGCCAGTGACCATACACAGAGCCCCAGGAAGGTAACAGTACGTGCAAAAACGCTCCAGGCATGGTGGTTCCTGGAGGTGCCTGGTGTTAGGGTCTGATCTGCTGAAGGAGCTCCATCAGAGACGGCAGGCTCAACATCAGTGCAGAGACTGAAGGAGACATGCTTGAACAAAGACTGAAATTTTGTGATAAAATATCTCAGGGAAGGGGAATAGGAAACCTAGACCAAAGTCACGAATCTGAGAGAAATTAATCTGGCCAAGAGATGCAGGAGATGTTTTCTGAACAGTTGATCTAAGCTACCAAAAGATACTGGAGACAGAGCAGGGGATTGATAGAAATCAGAAGGGATAAGATGTAATCACAGAAACCTGTAGGATCAAGTTTGAAGTGGATGGAGTAGTTTTATACTAGACCAGAAGGACATAGCTAAAACCCATTAGGGCAGGAGTTGAAGGCAGCAAGAGCAGACTCATCTTTCACAGTAGGGGTTGGGCTGCTGGAATGTGAGGGTGAAGAGGTTGCCAGATGCGAATGAGGTACTGGGAAGAGGAAGGGAAGAGGGTGGTAGGTGATGGAACGGTGGGTGGGGAAGAACCAGGTTTTATCTGCTTGAAAGGACAACAAGAGAAGGTGCAGAGATCATTGCTACAACAATAAACCACTGAAAAATTAGCAGAAGGAAGAGATGGGAACAAAACTGAATGGAGGCCTTTCAGAGTTAGGAGGTGATGGAGAGGGAATAATGCGACTGTACGTAGCTGTAAGTTAAAGGTAGAGCAGGATTTAGGGAGAGAAAGCAAGCTCCTTAGTGTTCTTCCCCATCTGAAAATCCTAACTCATCAAGCTGTGGAGAAGAACATGGGGGTGGGAGTGGTGGGGGAAATCTCATAAGAGCATAATCAGGGCATACACTAAAAAAATACACAGGGGGAGAAAAAAAAAATCAGAAGTTCTTAAATGCCTAGGCTGTAAAAAATGTAGTAGAAGAAAGGAAGGAGTTTTTGTAAAAATAAATAAATAAATCTGGCATCCTGCAAAGTAACCTACTTTGGGTTTGAAGTGATCATTTATCTGCGTGGCTAGGAGGAGCCACTGGCATTGCAGCAATTTAGCTGTGCTCAGAGAGGGATGGAAAAAAAATCCTGAGGTCTGCATAGACAAGAAGGAGTTAATGCTTGTCGAGCATTATTCTTATACAAATTAAGTCCAGAGCACAGCAGCAGCCTCACCAGCAGGAGCAGATGCTAGGCAGTGATGCAACCTGTGTTATTTACTTAGGCCTCTGTAGTGACCTCAGTGGCTTGCAGACAAAGGATACACGTATCTGGAGGTAGGTAGCATGCTGATACCTTCTTTATTCAGTCCTTTTATTGCAAACAAGCTCCTGTAATCATCTTGCGTGGAGCAACAGGGGAACTGTGTATTTTTAGCGTGGTTTCAGAAGGAGGAAGAAAAGCCCTCAACCAATTCAGATTTGGTTTCTGTTTTTTTTACTACCAATATAACTAGGAACGTTTAGAAGCCATGATGCGTCGGTCCCTTGAACGCAGCCAGCAGCTGGAACAGAAGCAGAAGCGATGGTCGTGGGGAGGAGCACTGGCTGCAGGCTCAGGAGGGAGAGACGGTAAGTGAAACAGTCTGCCTGCATTGCAGATCTTGAAGTGCAAAATGCATGAGGAGATAGTAAGGATGATGCATTTTATAGTTAGGGTGGTACTGTAGGGGCTACTGCCTTAGGGTGTGAATAAATGCTTTGTAATTGCTTGCCGGGCTTCCTCTCTCTAACACCTTCTGGGGAGAAAGATCACTCCTAACTTTAGGAATGCAGATCATTTTAATAAAGTAACCAGAATCTGTTTGGAGGATGCTAAATGCTAAAATTAAAATTTATGCTCTCTCTCCCTTATTCTCTTCCCCCACATTGTCTTCCCACACACAGTTAGCAAATTTAATATTCACAAAAGGACTGAGTGCTGTCTAAGCCTTGTGAAAGATGATCTGTTTTTGTTTGGTACTTCTAAAAACCTGATGGGAATTTCTAGATGACTATGCAGCATGTGCAGTTTAAAATAGTTTGGTTTTTTTTCCCCACATACTTTTTGTTGCTACTCTTTTTGATTTGGCTTCAGAACAAATTCTTTTTATTACATAATCAGTCATGTACTGCTTTTATATTTCAAAAAGATTCATGTTTTCTGTTTTAAATCATGTAATCTGTTTAAATTTGTCAGGTTTGTATAAACTCATGTTATGGGGAAAAATATCCATGTTTGGGTGATGATGAAATATGACAGTTACTCTCTTTTAAACGGTGTGTAAATATATGTAACTCTAAAAAGGCAAACTCTGTTTCACATCATATTTTCACAGTATGCCATCAAAAAAAGCCAGGAAATTAAACATATATGATGATAAAAGAAGTCTTTTGTACTTTGAGAAAGAAACCAGTTTGTGATGCAGTTTATGCTTAATTTCAGCTCCCCCCAACTTATTCAGTAATTTCTTTCACCTCTCTTTGCTCTGATTTCTCTGCTGTGTAGGTGAATCAGAAAATACCCCACCCCCTGTTCTAGGTTTAGCTGCCAACACCCTTCCTCCAGACCCTGTGACCTCTACTGCTCCTGCTGATTCCTTCAATGGTATTTCAGAGAATCACAGTACCATCGTGTCTCGTTTATAACTGTTCTAATCACTGTAATCCATCCACTGATCTTGTCCTTCCTAACCACTGTTTTCTTATTATTTCAGTCTGGTACTCTACGGCATTACTCTTAGCGATGTGGACCAAATGTCTTTTTAATTTCCTTTTAATTTTGCCATGGTGGAGCAGTGCATGCCTCGCATTCCAGCACAGTAGAGGCATTTCATGGTTTTCTCACTAACTGTAGACTTCTACCGCTCAGATGCTCATCTCTGTTAATCCTGTGGGTGCTCTGTGTTTGTATGTGAGTGTAAATATAATTACACATATATTTAACAGTTCTAATGGGCATACACAGGTGCAGGTGCTGTCGAAAAAATTTTCAGTTGCACAGTAAGAGAAAATGTATTATGGAGATGATGTTTCATCAAAACTGTCCTCTTTTTCCATCTTGAGAGCCTTTTTCTGCAATATTTTACAAACAAGCAAATTTGGCACAGCCAATGCAGTATTTTCAGCCTCCTGAAGTGGATTTTGGCCAAGCTGCCATTTGTAACAAACTCAAGTAGTTGATTTTGTTTAGGCAATCAGGTTTTGTTTTCTTCTGTATTGTTCAGTTATGTTAGTATTATTATAAAAGGACTTTATTTTTTATTATAAAATTACTTTTTTTATTATAAAAGGTCTGTGAAGTAGATGAGTGCTCCAAAATTAAGAACAGATTGCATATAGGATCTCTAATTTTGATTGCAGATGTACTTGGCATTTTGAAAATGCAATGCAGCCTGTGCTTTTAAGAACTAGTTCCTTCTCTCCCCCCACCAAAGCAGGAGCTAGGCTTGAATATTACTCCTGCAGAATGCACAGTAAATGTTGTCCTGCCCGTGCTCTAACAGAACTATTATTTCTGTACACACGGATTCAAATTTTTTTACTAATTATTGTTCATGTACAGATTTGGACATGCAACTGATGTTTTGTAGCACACTAGCATTGTACCTGCTTTTTTAAAAACATGAACATAGAGAATTTTATTGTTTGCTGTAGTAGGTGGAGGCAAATGTTGCAGATGCCACTGAGGCAATGTTTCAAGGGATGTAATAGGGAATGCAGTAACTTGCGGGAGAGCAGAATTAGGGCCATATATATGTCTTTAGCTGAAAGTATTTTTGGTTTTGAAAGAAGGAAATTAAAATCTAAGGGACAAAGCATCTATACTTTTAGCTTTTGAGCATCAGGCAGTGATTGTCATATAGTAGTACTCTGTAGTAATACATAACATTTTTCTGTCATTCTGTTGAATAAATGGCAAACAGACTTTGTCAAACAATATTTTGGAAGAAATAACAGAAACAAAAGTGCTTGAGGTAGTAGCAGAAAGCTCTTTTTTTTTCTTAAATAATAAAATCTCAAGCACAAAAAGATAAAGCCGAATGGCTTGTACCAGATCAGTCATTAAAACAGTTCTTATCGTGCAAATGCACAAATGTTGATTATTTCATTTTTGTATTAGTATAATACCTGAAGTCTACCCCAGCTCTTCCAGATTGAAAGTAGAGGAGGGGGCAGAGGGGAATGGAGGTGAGGAGTTTAGAGTTGTCATATGTGCAGTTCATTTTCTTTAGGTAACTTTCTGCTTGTGCTGGTCTTGAATGTCTCTTATCAGAATGGCTTCAGTCATTCAGACCTGATACAGAATTATTTGCCTGTGGCAGTATAAAAGATAGGCTACTGTGAACCTGAAATGTTGAATTCACAAGCAGAAAAGTTGCATCCCAAAGCACGTCTTATAAAATGCTGGTCCCCTGGCAGTCGGAAAGAGCTTATCTCATGCCTTATTCAGTGCTATGATCAGTGGCAAGGGCCAGGAGTACAAATGCAAGGTTAATTTTGGGAGTTTATCAACACTGTGATGTGAATACAAATATCTTCAATGCGTCTCTCTGCAGCATGTGACAAACTTTCAGCTTCTACAATGAATCTGCCAAAGCAAATGGAATCGCCAATCAGTAAGCGCCTCTCCTCCTCCACAGCGGCAATAACACATTCCCCCGACAGAGGCAAGTGAATATGCTGGTCTCCTACCAGCATAAACTCTCCTTCTGCTTAACGCACTTCTTGTCTGTTATTCAAAAGAACTCAAACATTTTGGGGGGGGGTGTTGTAATTTAATACAATAAAATAGTTCTGCAGCCTGTCCCAAGACTGTGCTGCCATGCTGGAGATCCTAGGCCAGCGACAAAAGCTGTGGGATTTTTTTACTGATTCCTTTTCAATTTTCAATACTCCAACAAACAGGGTTATAAGTATATATGGCAACTGCAGCAATATCCTATAACTGTACAGCTTGTGATCATCTAGCCAAATAATGAAAAACAAACAAACCAAACATGCAGCTCAACAATAGACATGGGATGTACCGTGAGCAGAAGTACGTCCGATGAGCCACCTGGGAGACTTCAATCTGGTGACCAGAGTTGTAGAGCCTTTTAATTTTATTTGAAACACTGATCCATCAGAGGCTCAGCAAAAGATTATAGTCTTGCAGGATTAGTGGTTACTAAACACTACAGAAAGGACTGAAAGGTTTATCCCACTGTGAACTCTTCGGAATTTTTTTGTTTGTTTTGTGTGTCTTTTTTTTTTTTCTTTTCCCTCCCCTTTTTTAATCTCTAATGAGGGGAAAAAACCCACCTGAAATAAATAACAATGAAGGCTTATTTCTAGAATGAAAAGAGAAGGTAAATTTACTTTCGTTTCTGAATTGCTTAATGAATACTTATCAATAGCTTTGAGGTTGTTCTACTAGATGGCTATATATATATATATGCATGTAATAAGAACATCTATAAATAACTTTCTTACATAGTTGATGCTTTTATTTATGGAACAGGAAGGAATGCAGGCATATTGTATAAATAAGACTTATATAATGCAGTGAGACTGCAAATTTTAGATGCAGTCCCAGTATAGTTGGCACACTAGTGAATAGCTGCGCTGTTATACCAAATGTTTCACCTTTTCTACTGGGGAAAAAGGTGAACGTTTTTCATGCTGAGTCATGAAAGCAACCATTTTGCAGAATGGAACGTGCCTCTGTGTAAGAACAAAATGCAACACTGTCTTAACATTACTGTATTTATTGTACAGGTGGGAAAATTACTTTCTCCATTGTTTTAAATTGAAACCTTTTTTCAGAGGGAATGAAAGTTAACTTTAAATGTTTTAAATCTCAAACACTTCAAGTTGTTTTTTTTCCATTTCATTTAATCATTTAATCATATTATTTCAGTAATTTCAATGTAACATTGTTTTATTTTGTTGCATTTTAAATTTTTTATTTGCTCCCATCCTTCAGCTCACCGCATGCATCTTAGTCCAATGGAAAACTTTATTGTTTCTCGATTGCTGACTCCCACACAGTCATCTTTAGCCAGAAGCAGAAGTACACTAATGCTTTCTGAGCAGTACAATAATCCAGGTAAAAATGTGAATTACTCACTTTGAAACTGTTAAGGTATGGTTTTGGTTGCATTTGAGTAGTTGCTGAAAGAAACGAAGTACTATGAACCAAATGACAATTTACATGATAATACAAAATCAACAATGAACTAAGTTGTTCATGATAGCAGTGTATTTAAAATCTTGAAAAAAACCACATCATCTTGTCTTGTTCTAAATGGCTTTTTAAAAAGAACACAGTTTAAAAAAAAATACTTAATAAAATCGCTAAAACCTTGGCCAATGGAAAACTGAATATATTCATTTAAGAAACAGTATTTTAGACCAGTGTGTGACATTTCTCAGAGGCTTTGATAGATTAATTTCATCCCCTCTCATACCCAAATAGTGTGTAGAACAAAAATCCCAGTGCACCATTTGAGCCTTAATTATTTTTTCTAGGGTTCCAGTTCTTTGCTGTTAAATTACTTTTTGCCTTTAACTGTGTGACTGTATGCATATTTTTATATAGGGGGATGTGTGTGTCTACACATATAAAATGATACTTAGAGGAAAAAACAGAGACACTGATGGGAAGGTGTCAGTTCCAGAAATTATTGATCTTTAAGAAACTAGAAATTAGGGATGATAGGTACTATTCCTATCTGTAAATGGCAGTCTAATAAACCCCTTACGTTGCAAACATCTACAAAACTACTGTTTCCAGTCCTGCTAATACTTGGGCAAGCGCCTGACTTCCAGAGTAGTTCCTGCTTATAAAGCTATACCTAGTCATAGTGTTTGCTGAAACAAGGACAAAAGTTTAACAGCTTTTTTTTACTTTTATTGAAAACAAACAAGCAAACAAACAAAAAAACCCCAAATCCCACATTCAAATGCCTGTGTGTGAAAGGAAACATTTTTTTCAGGATAAAACTTGAAATATAAGACTGATAATATAAGACTGACAATATAAGACTGATAATTTTTATGAAAAGTATTGTCATACAGCATGGTTGAAATAGGCTCAGGTCCTGCATCTGTGCTTTTAATACAAAGCTATGTAAAAATTAATTACAAAGTAAGCCTGCTTTCCTTTGCACATTACTTCTTTGTTGCAGTGCATAGGGACATCGGTATTGAGTGACTCTGAAATAACTTCCCTCGTTTCTGCATTAAAAGCAGCATCTGTTGGTAGCAGAAATGCTGTCATACAGTACTTGGCCTATGAGAAAATTCCCAGTTTACTTACTGCTCGGGGAATCAACTAATGCTAAGACTGAACAAAAGCCAACTTGAAATTGGATCAGTATATTCTGCGTAAAGTTTTGAGGCAAATCACTGGGGCCACCTATAGATGTTGTTTTCTGTGTTGTAGTTGATATTGAAGAATTCAATAGGGACTTTCTTTGTCCTTCCCCACTCAATTTGTTTGTAAAATCCCAGCTTTATCTCTCTCTTCATCGCAGAATCTTTAAAGTAGCACGCTGGCATGTGTGAGGAGGATACAATTTGGTCTGCAGATCACTTTTCCCCCCCCCAGCTGAATCAGGAGTGCTGATTCTGGGAACAGCTCTCAGAACCAGCGTCCTCTTGTCATTTCCTCGCAAGGCAATCGGGCTGTAGCACAGGTTGCAAACAGCATCAATACTCAGAGTGGCACTTGATGGTTTTGCCAGTAATTGCCAGCAAAAGGGTTGAGGGAGATCTCCCATTTGTGGTGTACTTCTCTCTGTAGAAGTAATCTCCTGAAGAGGGTTCTTCCTTTTCAGGAGCTCATATTGTGCTTCATGTCATTCTGTTTGGGTCAAAATTGCTCTGCTCCTGCATTTTCTGTAAGCTCAGAAATGAGGAGTCTCAATTTAAGACTCTTTCTCTAGGGCAATGCATTATTAATGTCACTCTGAGTCAAGATAGTCAGGAAAACAGTTGTTATTGGATGCATACAATTAATTTTTTTTTTTACAGTTGAAGTAAAAATATTTATCTGAAGAATCATTTAAGTTTCTGAACAGTTAATGTTCAGTGAACTTTTACCAGCTTGCTGGAAAGTCCGTCAAAGAATAGACAGGTCCAGTTAAACTTAAAAGCATACAAAAAGGCTTCATAAGAAATTTTATAGGACTGCCACCAATTAAAAAATAATATTGGAAATGTGAATTCCTTTACATTTGAGCATAATTACTGCTTTTCCAAAGTCAGTATCCTTCTTGACTTCAATTGAGTAAGATTGGAAACTCACTGTCACATGGTTACAATTAGCATATGTCATTAATAAAGCATATACTCTGTTGATCGTTGTATATGTATGTGGAAAATTCATTTTAAAAGACAATATGAACAAAACCAGGAGTAAAATATCCCATTTAAAAAAAAAATGCTGTTCATATTGCAAGTAAAGAAAAAATACCCAGAAAATCTTGCCCTGTAAGCTGTAATTCATGCGTCTCTCTCAAACTTATGTCTACCACAAATAACAATCACTGAAATACCTACAGCAGCATTTAATTTAGGTTTGGCTTTGCTACTGTGTTTTGTTTTGTCTTGTTTTTTTAATTAATTGCTTTTCAAAATAATACTTAAGGTATTTAGGAGCCTTTGCCATGTTTTAGGCTACTTTAAAAAATTAAGAATTCCCTACTCTTCTGTCACCTTTCTTATTTTGCAGTGTTTGTTCAGAAGTCACCTAACTAGAATTGTTTGATTACTCTTTTTATCATACGCAGAGGAAGCTAGAGTTTTCAGAGAAGAAAAGAATCACAGTCATAGTCAGGTGATTCAAAAGGTATATGAGTAAGAGAGCGATATTTTAGAGATAATTTTTTTTAAAAATTAAAAATCCTATAGAATGTTACTTTTAGGTGAGGCATTGTTAGTAAACACGTGGCCCCGTTGAATGTGTTACATAACGTGATCTTCTGAGACACTTTTAAAAAAAACCTTGAAAACTATGTTTGAACATTATAACATAAAAGTATGCTATTTTCTCCTCTCCTTTTACTTCCTCTGTCTGTGCTCCCTTTTGCTCTTGCTATTGTACTATAACTCTTTAGTATTCCATATCTGTCCTCGTGTAGCACCAGCTAGTCCTCTTAAATCTCCCTACAAGCCTTCCCCCACCCGAAGCACTGACAGAAAGAAGGCAACTTCACCCTCCACTTCTGATGCCATGAAAGGGGCGGCTGAGGTTACTCAGGTGGGTTTGCAATGGTTTTGATTTAATTTGAGTAAACTGAGGCAGCTTCTGGTTGCTATCTTTCCCTTTACATTCATAAAAATAAAGTGCTACCCCTGTTGTAAGAAACAGCGATAAGTAAGTAAGCCTTGCGTGCATCTGTTGCTTTCGTGCTCCTGTTTAGCAGCATTTTAACATCTTCCGTCTTCTGGGAATCAATGTTGAGCATTGGTATTTGGAGCAGCAACACCTTTATTTTCAGGGAACTGAGATTTCTAGCACTGGTGTATGTTTCTAGACTTGCCTGTAATTACTGGGAATGGGGATAACAAGCAGGATCTCTCTACTGAGTACAACTATCCAGTCTTGCTGGTTAATTAGCAAGCTTCGTGTATGTCGGAAACTTGCCAAGTGTATTGACAATGCCTCTGTTTTGTACCAATTGTTTAACTCTTTCTGTGGATGTTTTCAATGCTGTATGCTTAAAAGATGCATTATTGATCCAGAAAAGCAAAGGCAAGTCATTTACTTTCTCTGAGTCTACACAATGTAAGGCAAGTTTTAAAAAATCTATGGTAGGGCTGTAAAATTCACGTAACATTCTGTGTCTTGTAATAGTTAATAAATAGTAGGGGGATTCATGCCATTTAAATTAGATGCAAGAGAGAGGACCAAAGCTGGAAGCTAAAGATTTGTGTAGTGTCTATCTTAGGTGTGATTCACAGTGTTATACCCAGCAGCATTGCCACAAGATGCCTGGGCGCACTACTGACCATGTCTTAAGAGGCGTTGCAGGAGCATATAGATGATTTTGAAAACTCCACCCAGCACCACCGCCCCTCCCCAGAACTCTTGGAGAGGCTGCAATGTGGTTTTATTTATCTGCAACTTGTATACTATGTCCATGCAAGACATGGTTGGGGTTTTTTTATGTCTATGTAAAATAAAAAGCTATGCACTTCAGTCGCGAGCTGGTGTTTAAAAAACTTTGTATGTTACACAAATCTGTTTATATGCCATCTTGTTAATAAAACTATCAAATATATTTTTGATGTATTGGTCCTAATTATGGAAACTAAAATGAACTGTGTTTCTAGACTGAGAAGATAAAGAAAGAGAAGCGAACTGCAACACCTGGTTCATCTTCTGGGATGGGATCTCCTCTAAGAAGATCTGATTCTCCTGCTGCTGTGTCCAGAAGATCTGCATCACCTGCGACACCTAAGTATGCCTTTCTTATTAGTGGTCTAATATGCTGTGAACTTGTTACCTATAAAGGAGACAGATTCTTGAGGAACTTCTCTGAAGTGTTGTGTAAAATCTAGTTAATTTTAGTTATACGTACACACATATACAGATGGAGAGAGAGATGTAGATGAACAGATATGATATATATAAAAAATTGTGTTAGTGGTCACTAGAGACACTTCTCTGTCTTTTCTCAGTCTTTTGAAATTATCATCGTGCATTTCATAATTCATGTGAAGTTTTATTTAGCACTTATTTTTAAACGTGCTTTTGTTTTACTTGGTTTTGAAGAAACTCTGCCTAATGTGAAGAAATGCACAGAAGATAAATGCTAACTAGAAATTCCAGCATTTAAAATACTCATTTCCTATTGCTGGCATGACCATCTGGTTCCATAAATATACTTAACTATGCATCATCTAAACCATCGGTTTTAATCTTTACTTATTTGAAGACTTCTGTGGGTTTGTTGCTTTTTGTTGTTGTTTTCTCATGCAGAGTTGTGGACCTACACTGTATCTGGGTGTACTAGCAATTGAGTTGCTTTTCTTAGCTGTCTTTTGCAGACACTCAAAACTGTAGTCTGTGTAGCACAGCTTGCAAATCACAAGTCTAAGCAAATGTGTCTTCAGCTTTCTTAGAACAGATTATTAAGTCTGGCTGAAATGCAGAAGAATGTTGAAGTAGTCATGGTCTACAGTAGTTTGATTTTTTTTTTGTTGTGTTTTGGTTTTCTTCTAGACCTTGTTCATGGGTCCTGCTTCTGTCTTGCAAATTATGTCCTTTTGTCTGATTTTTTTTTTTTTTTTAATCTGAACCTGGGCATATTCTGAACCAGTCTTGATGATTCCCTTTCTGACAAATTTATTCTGCCTCAAAAGCTAGCAGGCATTCCTTTTCTGTTTCAGCTCTGAGTGTGTAGCCCTTTAATAGAAGATGATTTTGTGTGTGAATCTGGTGTTAGACAAAACACAGGAAACCATCTGACTCTGGGCATTCTTTTTGCTTTAGAAATCCCCTCGCATAGAACTGAGAAATTGCGATTCTTGGTTTATATTATAAGGCTACAAATTCTCAAACTTTCAATATTATACATACAATGTCATCAGATTCTGAGCTATGTAAATTTTGTGAAGAATGGAATGATATGAAATGTTAATGATAATCAGCTTTTTTTCGTTACAATTTTGAGCAGATCATTGTCTAGGGACACTCCAAAACGTACAGAGAAAAGTTTGAGCTATAAAAATGCATAATATTTTGTAAGTACTGATATTCCCTGTTCAGAAAGCATCTTTCAGTTCAGTCAGCCAGTATAAAAGACATACCAAGAGACTTACTTAGTTAAGCAAAACGATTGGTGGGAGATGGATTGCTGAGAGTGAAGCACTTCTTGATGGACTGACATTGAAACGGTTGGTATAGCTCATCATAGAGACATCTGGGGAAAATAAAGAAAAATATTTTGTGAAACAAACAGATGTTTAGTGCTTCATGGGAAAAAAGTATGCCCAGTCTTAATTTGTAGCACTAATTTCCGTAAAAGGTTAGGCAACAATGGAGACTTTTTTGCTAGAGGTGCAAATTATGAGAACCTTTTTATAGTGAAATGTTTTCATGCCTGTAAGGAATCTAAACTACTGTTTTTTAGAGGAAGAAGCGTATGCTGTGTGGAGGAATTAAGAAACCTACTGGTGGGTTTCTCTGTGATTGTGAGCCACAGTAGTTAGCCTTTTTTTTTTTTTTTCCTTTTTTCCTCCCTCTCATCCTCAAGAGACTCTGATTCTGACCACTGCTAGAAATGTATTACTGAGCATTTAATCTTAACTTGGCCCAATTAGAACATCCTCCTTGACCTTACGAGAGATACAGTAAATAGAGTTTAAATCCACTCTTATTGCTGATAGCAGAAGGACAGTTCTGTTTCAGCACTCTCAAAACTTCCCCTCAGAAATTTAAAATAAAAAAGACATCCTGATGACCATACTATATTATTATATAAAGATACACATTTCTTTGTACAACTCAAATGCCAGATAATGATCTTGCTGGTCAGTGTATTTTAATTTAGGCAGTCAGGCTTTTGGAGCCTTCCTTTAGATTATACAATCTCATCGTTTTGTTTAAAATTAACTTTGGAACTTAAGTATAATTTCAGTGTGACAAATTTTAAAATTTTCTTTGCAAACCTGACAGTCTTTGACAAGTTTAGTCTTTCTCCTTCCAGCACACCATATGGCCAAAAAAAATACCCTGGAAGAAATAAGAATATGTATTGTATGGCATTAGTAGTTAGTGATCCTGCATAGCACCTTAACTTCAAAAGCTGTTGAGGAAAGAATCAAGTATGGCTAGTGATTTAGATGATAATTAGCTGTGCACATTTTTGTTCTTAGAAGTATGTGACTTGACATTCAGGTTTTACTCGGTATTGTTCTAGTTACTAGTTCTTCACAGTCGTCATCTTGGTTTGTGAGTGGTAGTTCCTTGTCATCTTTACATGTTATTTCATTATTAATTTAAAAAGCTCCTTTTATCATGGTAAAGTAACTGAAACAGGCTGAAACAGACAATAAAACTTCAACTTAGAGAGACAGTGATTGATGGCAGAATAGATCTGCAGTAATTACATAAATAAAATACAGTGTTTGAAGGTGCAAATTTTACTGAGAAAGCAAAAAAGATCAACCCAAAACTTAACATCCAAGACAAAATGAGTGACTAAATATGGACCTAAAAAGGAGAAAAAGGGAAACAAACAAAAACATGTTGAGCAATAATTAAAAGCAAGGAAGGAATTCAAAGCTTGAAGATACTTGAAAAAGTAAATATCAAGAAATGTCACACATGAAAGAAACCCCAAACTATTGCTTGGGGATCAGTTGACAAAGGTGAAAGTTAATGGATTGGAGAGCTAGGATAATTGAGAAATTATCTTTTATTTTAATTTTGCTATTGGACACGGGATTCTGTAAAGTGCTCCTGTTCTTCAGATCTTTCACAGGATCAATAATACCAGGTTTTTTGGTAAATTTTTTTGATGCTTTGTCTTCAGAGATCTATACATTAATTGGTTTATTCTTGCAGTATCCCTCAGAGAATAGGTAAGTGTCCTATCTTATAGATTGGCAAAACAATAAAGCCTGTGTCCTTCATGTGCCTTTGGGTAAATGGTCCCTTTGAAATCAATGGGACCTGACTGACTCAAGGAAGTAGGATTTAGTTTTAAGTGTCTTCAGATAAGCCATAGTATAAGCCAGTGAATAAAAATGGAAATCTCTGACAAGCCTCCGTGTTACATTATTGTGCCAAAGCATTACCTCATATGAGAGTGAAGAAGCAGCAGGGAGAAGGGAAAAGGGACTGCAGCGCTGCTGGTGGGTGGTTCTTGGTTCGTTTCTGGTTCCCAGCCTGTGTCACTGGCCTTTTGCTCACCCTTTCATTAACTGAACCCGTAACCTGGTGGTTCTTTTGGGTGACATCCCGTTGCAGCCGTTAGGACACGCTTTGATGTCAGAAATGTACATGCTCAATCAAATTACAGAATATCGATGAAATATGAACCTAGAGTAGTACAAAAAAGCCCAAACTTTTAAAAGCTTTTAAAATGACCTATTAGAAACGTGTCTGCATGTGGTGAATTTCTCATAGAAGTAGCTTCTATATTCTACAGTGACCTAGTTTTAGATATTATTTGATGTGTGCTACGTTTACTTCTCTTGATCTTTGTTTGCCTTGGAAAGATAAAAACAATGAGTAGAATGTTGGATCAAGACTATTTTGAGGTTTTTTGCAGCAGCTAGCAAGAGACTATGCCAATTCAAGATTTTGAAAACATCTGTAATAATGCAACTATCAAAATAACTTTTCTCTACATCTATGCTGAGTTTGTGCTCTTTTAAGAAACGTAAAAGAGAAATGAGCCTGTCTGTGGCTAGAAAAGATCAAAACTTAAGAGTGAAAGAAAACTGCTTTTGAGAAAATAGCACAAGTAGCAGGGCAAAAATGTTAGAACCCAGCAATAGCTTGTGATCAGAGCAATCTCAGAAAGCGGGCTTGAGAACATGCATGTCTTTGGTGTGGTTTCAGCAGAGCTTTTGTTGAATTAATAGGGAGATATGAAAAAAATAATGCTACTCTGGCATTGCTCCAGATTTCTGATTTAAAGTCAGCCTTCTGAACTGCTGTAACCGATGACCTGTCACATACCTGGCTTTTTGATGGACAAAATTGGATGTGACCTCTCACTTGCATGCTACCTGTACTTTATTTTTTTTATGCTTAGCAAAAGTAAGCTCAGAATCCCTCTTGTGCTCTTCCTGAGACATTCTTCTGCAGTATGGGCTATCCCTCTTTTAATTAAATAAGAGCCACTGTAACTTAGGGACCATTGGATCCTCGGATGTGATAGAGGTTCTTGCAGTGCATGTGGGGGTCATGATGAGAATGGCTTCTTACAAGCTGCTGCCCCCATGTCAATACAGGGTGTTTAGATGAGAAAACTTAAGACCTCCTGGAGGGAGGAAGATGCTTCCTGTACTTCTGTATTCCCCTGGAAAATCTAGTGACTGAGATGAGTCACCTTTCAGACCACATGCTACCACTTCTTGGATTGTGGGGAGCTGCTGTCTTAACTCTGTGGTCCTCATCAGGCACACTTCTGTGTTTCCACATTCTTACCAGGGTTTCATTACATCCCTTGCCTCTTTTCCCAAGGCAAAAATAAAACATTTTGTAAACCTAAGCAGACCCCTATGCCAGTGTTTATACATTTTTCCTTAATAATCCCATTTTTCTGTCTTCACAGTCAAGTTTGGTCCTTTCTGGTGAAAAGTAACATCATTTAAGTACTATTAAAAGGAGTGATTTTTCCAGTAACAATTCTGCATTTGTCTAGGAATGCTAAGTTGATAATATGTTTTAAATACAAGGGGGAAAATAGTGTTCATTTAATGCTTTCTATTGGCATCCAATAAATGGTGTAAAATTTCTGAAAAAAAAGATTCTTATTCCTGATGGGCTTTCTCATCTTTTCACTCCTCGCGCTACACTGTTGTCGTCCTTGCAGTAATCTGGTTTTTATAGGCTTCTTCCTTTTAGTTGCTTTAAAACAAGCAAAGCCATGCTTGTTTCTTCTTCTGGCTGAAGAGCTGTAAGAAAAAATTTCTGCAGGTCTAAAAGTTAAAAGATGCATTACTTAAATAATAGATTCAGCACGTGTTTCTAGTCCAACAGGTAAGTTGTACAGCCAGTCTGCTCTAATTCCTATGCAGTGCAAGATGCTCTCATGACTAGACTCCTTCCTACCAACGTCTTTAATTTGATTGTCATGTCTTTATTAGAGAACAATTACTTCTGTGCTAATACTGAAAATGACTCAGCCTTAGTTATGTGACTGTTGTGCTCCTCCTGTCACAACAAGTTAAATAAAAGGCACTGCACAGAATGTGTGGTAAAGTTGGGAATGTGAATCAAAGACAGCAAGAAGGGACTGTGCTTTGAAGAAGTGTCTGATTAGCAAGAAGCGTCCTCTGTGCTGCAGAGAAGCATAAGGAAAGTTGTTTACTTTTTATTTATACGTTATATTTTTATGAAATGCAGTTTGAAATGACTGTAATGGTGAGGCACATATGTGATGTACCTAGTAGGTAGGGTCTTGAAATCTCTGCCTTTGTCTTTAGGAGGGCCTGGGAATCCATCTGTATCCCAAAGAGACAACTAAAGACAATGCTAAAACCAGATTGGGTCAACACCAGCTGATCTCATTGGCTTTTCCGATTGCTCTTTTTCACAAGAGCTGGAAACAGACTTGCCTGTCCACATCTTCCAAAGCCTGTTTCTGTCAGGGAGCAGCAGGAGCAGGCTGCCCTGCAAGGCAGGGCGAGCCAGGAGCTGTGGGCGGCAGCAGGGCAGGCAAGGACAGGGACCTCACCCACAGGACTGCATCCCACAGCAGACAAAAGAAGTGACCAGGGCAGGACTGGTGATGGTGACCAGGGTCAGCCAGGAGTCCAGCGAAAGCCAGCAAAGGCCTTCAGGAGGCAGGTCCAAGGACAAGCCAGGACATCAGGTCGGGATCAGCAGGTTAGGAGGCTGGGTACAGGCGTAACTACAGCTTAGCTCGGGCAAGGACCTGGGCTGACAGGGAGCTCCTGGACCTGCGGGCAGACGGTACCTGAGCTGATCTTCAAATTTAGTTGGGTGCTACTGTTCCACTGGCCCAAGGGCTTTTGACATCTGTGGTGGCTCTTCAGTGGGAATAAGAAAGTACGGGGTGGTGCAATACTCTGCAGCCTTTTCCTCCTCACAAACTGGGCAGCTCTGAATGAGTTCCCTGTGTTCTGGTGTCTCAGCCTCTTGCACATGAAGCATAATATGGTGGAAAAGAACCCTTTCTTCTCCTGGATTCTTGAATTGGGGGGGAGTTGAAAGACATTTTAACTTTTGTCTGGTCTGTAACGCAAATGCTGTTCTGCTTATAATAGTTTCTGGCCACACAATACTATAGATCTATACGAATCTTCCCACTCCAGTCCATTAATTTTAAGCCATTGTCCATGTTTTTCATGCCTCGTGGTCTGCCAGAATGAATGTATAGTTCAGAAAATGTGTTACAGTATATGAAACTCTGTATTGTGTAGATGAAAAAAGTGATAAGGGATAATACATTTATATCATAATTGCATATCCATGAGAAAGGTTAAAACTACATGTGTAGTGTTCACTTTAATGTAAGATTACTTCTTCTAATGGGACTCACATAAAACATTATTTTAAGATTGTAATCTCTTGACTTCCATACCACTTAGTCACACAGCCTAGCCTTTCTTGGCGTTACAAGTATTCAGTGCTAGTGACTGATGTTACATAAATAATGAATGGTGTTTGTGCATAGTTTTATGTTTCCTCGGAATCTGTTCTCTTTAATATTCGCCTATTTTCAGTGAGTAGTATCTTTTCTCTTCCGCTTTCCCAGAACTGACTTCAAGGTTATCGTTTCACCTAAAGTACGCAACAGCTAAACGAGCCGTCGGCTGCGTTGCTGCTGTGTGTTGCCATCACCACAAGTGCAGCTGTGTAAAAGGTTGCAGGGGCTGAGTTTTGATCCTTGAGTCTGTCATGTTGGTGCTGATTAAAGTGCTAACTGAGGCGGTGGAGCTGACTGTACAATGGTTTGGTCAGTTCTGTCTCTTTTTGTGGTGCCCAGCTGTACCTTGGTATATAGTAATATTTGGTGCTATTTTAGAAAATCGGATACTGTTACAAAAAGACCATGTTAGAGAAGGCTGTATTCAAATGAGAGCAGCATGTTGCAACTCACTATATTGCTGCAGAGAGAAAGCAGCCGTAGCTTTGCTTTACATACTGAGATGGGCTATTGAATGGAGTAATGTTGACAAAACTGTTGTGAAATGGTCACTATGAAAATTATTTGGTTTAGGTAGTACATGATGCCATATCTCTTTCCTACAACTTGGACAGTATTATTGGTCTTTTTAAACAAGAATTTTCTGTAATCACTTGCATAGGAATTCCCTGCATTTCAGCAGGGATAACTGCTGAAAACAACTGATATTACTATGTAGACAGAGACAAGAAAGAATGATATATGTAAAGACAGAACTTGATTCCAACTTGCATAATGAATAGCCTGTTTTGATTTTTGTTTTCTCATCAGGACAGTTGCAAAGACATATCCTCAGTCTCCTAAAAATGCCAAACAATATCCAGCTTCTCCTGTGAAGCATCGTGCTACTTCTCTCAACCAGGAAACTCCTAAAAAGAAAGCAGACAAGGAGAAAGAAAATGTCAGTCATCAGAAATCCTCGGGAGCACGCACTGAGGAGGCAGGTCAGGTGGCTTCTGAGAAGCCCATGGCTTCTGCAGGAAAGACTGAAAATAGTGAAGGTGAGTCTTACTGTAAGAATATATTGCAAGCTATCATGTGTCCCTGAGGCTTTTAAACAGTGATGACCTGTTCTTTTCATGAAGCTGCTCAGTCATAGGCTTATGAGGATGTGTGAAGGTACATACTGGAACCAGTAAATGTATAGGTTTCACAAGGGTTGCCCATGTATGAAAACCGCTTGTTAATGAGGGTGTGAAAGGATGCCATCCAGGGATGCCCTTACCTCTATCCTGTATTCTATCTGCTGAAAATGCTGAGGCACGCTTTTGAAAAGCAAAGGTGTCGTACCCGCGTGAACCAGGCGTGTTTTAGCTGCTGGGTGAGCGTGGAAGTGCTGTGCACTCTCTCTGTTCCCTGCCTGACTTTCCACCCTTGGTTGTCTTCTCCTAGGGAAGATCACTGCAGGAACAACGGATGCAGAAGAAGCTTCAAAAATTCTAGCTGAAAAAAGACGACAGGCCCGCCTGCAAAAAGAACAAGAAGAAAGGGAAAGACAGGAAAGAGAAGAACGTGAGAGGTATCTGTATTGATTTGTGAAAGTTATTACCTAATGATTTAACCCGTATCATTGAAGATGCTTGAAACTTGGTATTTTTAGAGTCAAGGTGGGAGCTGACGTGTGAGTGTCAATTTCTTTCAACTCAGACCCATAATTCAATAGTGTCTTTTGCAGTCTTTATGACTAGCAAAGTTAGAAAATAATAATTTGGTCTCTTTAAGAAGCCTGAATAAACTATTACTCATCCAGATGCTTATGGTATGTCCACGCTGCAGTGTGCAGTACACTGCAGCGTGGACATACTTGAAGCATTTTATGTTGTAAAAAAAAAAAAAAATACTTGGAGGCAGTTTTAAATGAGCTAGTTCATGTAGAAGAAACAGTCTTGCAATAGTAGTATATGCCTTAAATGGTGAGGCTTGTGTTGTTCAACAAATTAACCTGAAGTTCATCTCCCTGCCCAACTCTGTTGTGGGCAGTTGAGGGCTTTAAGAGTGTGGGCATAATGAAGGTTGCTGCGTCTGAGCAGTGGAGTTCTGGCTCTGTTCTGGGAGCAAGCTTTTCGGTCGTTTTCCACATCAGATGCTGAGTGTCAGCAAATCATGCCCTTCCTTCAAGCCACTAATATGAAATCACTAACTCTGTATGTCTAAATTCAACTATGTCTGTTCTTACTGAAAACATGGGTGGGGGGAATCACCAGCAACTGCCAGTTTGGCTCCACAGAAATATTTCCTGAGTCCTTGATGTGCAAGGATAAGAATGATCAGTTGTCAGAGCAGCTCTTGAATGTGGTGACAACGGAGCGTGATGTCCGTGAGTGGGCCACAAAGCAACACAAGTGGAATTTAGACCCAGGCTTTCTAGTCTACCACTGTATTTTGTGAACTTTGTTTGCTGCTACTCATCCAATCTGTTTATCTTCAGCTGAAACAAAGAAAAACAGTACTTGCTTGTTTATGGATACCAGCATTCTAGGTGTGAAGTACAGGGGAAGAGGGATGTTTTTATTATTGAAACTTAGTTTTATTATTGAAGCTGTAATTGAAATTAGAATGGAAATGCTTTCTTTTTTTGGATCACACCTGTTTATTCGAGGGAAATTATAATTTCTATGAAGCATTTTAGGCAGTGAAAATGAGATTGGAATAAAAGTTTGATAGCAGCCTGAATTCTGAGCATATGCTCACCCTCTTTGCTGCATCTTAGCATGCATTTCCATGAAAAATGCCGATGTGTATATTATCAGTTACTGCTGATTGCATGCCATACATACAATAGGATTCATGCTAAACAAGGTGAAACCTTTTAAACATACTGTTATATTTTTTTGCAGGCTTGAAAGAGAAGAACAGAAAAGAAAGGCAGAAGAAGAAAGACTTCGTCTAGAGGAAGAGGCTCGTAAGAAGGAGGAGGAAAGAAAACGTGAAGAAGCAGCAGCTAGAAAAAAGGCAGAAGAGGAAGCCAGGAGAAGAGCTGAGGAAGAACAAATGCTAAAAGAAAAGCAAGAAAAAGAGCTCCAAGCCAAACTTGAGAAACAGGTACCATCTCAAACACAGATATGAAACTTGATATACATATATATGTATACATATATTTATGTAGACATATAAGTAAATACTTTATAGTATCTGGTAATCTGTGTGAAATAAATAATTGTGGTTTACACATTTTGATTAGAGGGAAGAAGCAGAAATCAAAGCCCGTGAGGCAGCTGAACAACTTCGTCTTGAAAGGGAACAAATCATGCAGCAAATTGAGCAAGAAAGACTGGAGCGGAAGAAGGTAGATATTTGCGTCTCATTTAAGATAATTATTTCACTTCTTGTTTAAATACATAACCCAGGAAGTACCCAATAGTATCTAGAAATCACAATCTGGAGGTATTACAGATTGATATTTATGCCTAACTTAATATTTGCTACTTGCATGTTAGGAGAATGTGGACATGAAAATTTGTAACAAAGTGGCATTGCCTAAGGCAAAGGACTTTCTACTAGGTGCTGAACAAACACAGAATCAGCCTCTGCCCACGAAGTTAAATGCCTGAGACAAACAGGGAATGGCATGCCAAGGCAAACTTCAATTGCCGCCCAACCCAGGACATCACAGACTATTGAGGAACATGAGTGACTTTGTTTTAGAACTTACTGAACAAAATCTCCGTGTCATTAGTTGAGAAAGTTAGTGTGACTAACAGACAGGTTTTCTGCCACCTGGCTTGTCTCTGGTTGCATTATGCAGAGGCAGCAGGGCTGTCTGGCCACTGCTGCACTAGGAAATGGCTGGAGCTGCATAAGTTAGCTTTATCTACAGCCCTGTGGCAGGGAAGAGAGGACAACTGCAGAGCTGCAGAACCTCTGTCTGGTTATAAAATACCATGTTTCCATATATGTTATTCCAATATGTTATTTGTAGCTCTTTACTACTGAGCTGGAGGCGTGTTGCAGTTGCTAATTAGACTACAAAACCAAAGTGCCTTTAAATTTGAAGTATTTTCCTTTCACACTAGCACAAAGAGACAAGGTTTGTTGGGAGGGTTTTTTAATGAACCAAGAAGAAAAAAAAAAGTATTTAAGGTAATACCTTACGCATTTCCAGCAAGAATAACTTCAGATATTTCATTTTACTCTTATATTCCAAAAAGCCTAACTACTCTTAAAGGAACTATTTGGAAATAGTTGGAAAAGCATCTAGATGAAAATAATAGTTGTTGGTTTTAAATAAGCATCTTGTTCCGGAGCTGAGTGCAACTCATAACTGCAAACATCTGGTATTAAAATGTTTGTCTCTAAATTGCATCTACTGAGAAAGTCATATTCTCTGAGATCTGATCTGTGAAAGCCAGCTCCCAGGTGTTTTCTGTCTTTTGTTTTCTTTATTTTTCTTACTTATTATTCCTTTTTCAAGACAGGCAGGGGTGATGTCATGACAGTAGAGAAAAGTTTTTTCTTTTTGTCTTCTCCTTTATCAGTCACTTGTGTTAAATATTCTGTCTGCCTTCTCATCCTCTGGTTTATTTTGATTTCTAGAGAATAGATGAAATAATGAAGAGAACAAGGAGGAGTGAAACACCAGAAATAAAGGTATGAAACAGTGTGTGGTTGCAGGGGTTTTTTGTTTTGTTACCCATACGTGAAAATTAAACTCCAGAGTAGTTCCATGTTAGTAGGTATACTTAAGTACACTCTGCACCCAGATTTTAGTTGCATTTCAAACTGAGAATGACTGTTGCTGTGTCACAGTTTTGTTGTACCACTGCTGCAGAGACACAGCTTTACGCAACTGTTGCAGACTTACCCCCTTCACTATCTGATAAGGCGGCAAGAGCCCATTCCTGGATGCTGGAGCTGTCGTGTTTGCTGCTCTGATGTATCTTCTGCATTGTACCAGCCAATGAATCAGTTACTGAGCTCTCCCTGATAAGCCTGCCAGGAATGCAGGATTGAGAACAAGGCAATTGTGTCCAGCTAGGAAGTGACACGGAGTAAAGATTTCACTTCTAAGTTTTCTACTAATGAAACTGTTTCTTCAGTTACTTGCAGAGAATGTTTTCCTTTTGAAGTAAAAAAAAAAAAAAAAAAAAAAAAAAAAAAAAACATCTTTAATATTAAAAAAAAATTCCTTAATTAAAAAGGGGGGGGGGAATCCTGTCTTGCTGTTGATGACCTTTGACCACCCCGTGGCCCTGGGCACTCTGACGTTTCAAGTCCAGTCAGTTCCATGAAGGTTATAGTCCTTTGTCTGACACAATTGACTCATTACTCCATTACAGAAGGAAGAGCCAAAACTGGAGGTACCATCAACTTTGAATGTGGAAAAGCAACCAAAGACCCTTGTTCTTAACCAGCCAGGTAAAAATTGCCATATTTTTGTGACCTGTTTTCACAGTTAATTCCTTTCAGAGTTTTGTAATCTCAGACATAGCGGTGTGTATTATCACAGATTCTTTGCTTTCATCTCAAAAAGAACAGCTACATTTGCGTCAGTGACAAATGTTAGAAACTGGAGACTCAGCTTTGTTTTGCCACGTAAGCAGAAGAAAGTTTCTCCTCTGTTTTAGTACCTGACATGGCATTTCTGTAAATGAGAAGTTGCAGTCTGCCAAAAGGTTTGGTTGCTGCAATCTGCCTTCCAATTTTGTAGGTAGAAAATTTTTGCACACAACCAAGTTGGCAAGCTTTTTATAGCATTACTCTAAATCTTTACATTTAATTTGACTTGACAAAAAAAGCCTATGTATTTAAAGAATTATTAAAGAAAATATACATATCTGGCATTTATCTAGATTTTGTTTAGTTCCCCAGGCTAAGGCTTTTAGTACATGACAAAAGATAATACGTTCTCTTCCTGCTTCCTCAAATTCAAAAGATGCAGCATAAAGAGCAATTTTAGAGTGGAAAAGAGGGTTGACAGTGTAGTATGATGAGTCATAGATGAATCTGAGTTCTACTGCATTGTCAGTCTTCCTTTCTACTCAATCTATAACTTAAAAATATTTGTGATTTTTTTTAAACTATATTTAAATAAAGAAATTGCTACTATCATAATTTCTAACCTTCTTTTATAGACATCAATGGATTGGCAACCTGCCTGAAAAATACAAGCTTGGAAAGTGCTGCTCCTGTAATCCCTTCCCAAGATGTAGTCGCTAATGGACTAAAGTCAGTTCCAGGACTTATCCAGCTGGAAGCTGTTGATGGGAAATCTAACAGCATGGAAGATTCAACAGATGAGGTTCAGTCCATGGATGTGAGGTACAGACCGTATCTACCAAGAGAAATTGTGCAATTCATATTAAACACACAAAGTTTTCTGGTTTGTTTGTTAATACTTTACTGCTTTACTTCTCACCTACCCCACAACGTGGCAGTCAGGTGTCCGCTGTGGTGTGCTCCGCTCCCCTCCCCTCCATCGAGATGCAGATTGATTATCTCAGACAAGGATCAACAGAACCTCAGCTCACTCTCACCTATTTGCCAGAGGGAGGGCTCTGAAATCCTTCTACAGTCCTTACTTACAGATTCCATACAAGTTTGCCCAAACCTTTCAGATTGTTCTGTGAAAGTGGCTACTGTAGATATTGTCAGCTGTCACCATTTTTTTTATTTGTGTCAAGACTGCGTAGCTGTGATGCATGAGCTTTTCTCCCTCCGTACAAACAGAATAAAGAACATAATCGATTCAGAATTTTAAGTACTTAACTGGAACAGATGTATAGAAATCAGTAAATAACTTTGTGTGTATTAAATACTGTCGGATTTTGATGGAAGGACTTGCAGGAAAAAAGTTGATATTTAAGGCTGCTATGAGAAAGCTAGCTCTGAATTTTCAACATGGAATTTTTATACGATGCTTCCTTAGTCAGCAAGACAACTTGACCTCTCAGACTGTTTCAATATTTCCAGCAAATCTGCATAAATATGTAAGAAATGCCCTGCTGGCACAGACCAGAAGTCCATCCAGCCTATTATTTGGTCTCGGAGAGTATCAGTAAGAAAAACTAGTTAGGCAGAGCACCTGAGCCCACCACTTTCTGCAATCTGAGACCATGCAGAAGTGTTATGTTAGGGGTGCTAGAGGGCACAACTCTGCCTCGCCCTTTGAAATATCAAATGATGGACCTGTTGCCCGTGAGTTTATCCAAACTCCTTTTTCAACTTGCTGATAATGTTTGCATCCAGGACCTCATCTGGCAGCAAGTTCCACAGTGCAGTCTCACTAGGTAAATTATATTCTTTGATCTATGTTAAACCCAGCCTCTTACTAGCGTCACTGGGCACCCCCCAGGTTTTGTGTTGCAGGATTTGAGGCACAAGAGTTTTGCCCTCAACTTATCCACCACAGTTTTAGAAATCTTTGCAAAATCCTTCCTCTGCCTTCTCTTCTCCAAACAGAAATGCGCTACCCATACTAGTCTTGGCAAAGCGTCAGCTGGTAGCAGCACTTCTTAAATTAAATTCCAGGATTTTTGTCTGAAGTATATCATAAGGTAATAAGAAATAACTTTTAAGTTTTGAAGTGTGAGTCCTTTAGGTAAATGTTTGCAGGGTCAGGACAATAATTTGCAGGATGCAATAAACATTTAAGTAAGGGAATGGTGCAGGGACTGAAATAATGAGGTAGCAGTCAACTATCAGAAATGTGATTTTTAAGAGATGAGTGTTCACATCACACAGCTACCATATCTTTAATGAATATAGATTAAGTATGACCTTCCATCCTGAACAGGGTAATCTCTTTGGATTGGGATGTATTCTAGGTAAAGGCTTGCTGCAGCTGGCCTTAAGTAGTAGTTTTTGGACAGTCAGAAGATTAATTTGGTTGTTGCTTAATGAAAAGTTAAACAACTCTTACTCTGCATCTTTCTTTTGTTTATCTTTTGTATAGCCCAGTTTCAAAAGAAGAACTTATCTCTATCCCCGAATATTCACCCATGAATGAACTCATGCCCGGTGTGTCTTTGGACCAAAATGGGACAAGTAATGCCAAGGCTCTTGAAGATCTCTTGGATTTCACAGGCCAAGCTACGTACTCCAAGATGTCCAGTGATACCATTAGCCTGGATGACTGTAACAAAAACTTGATTGAGGGATTTAATAGTCCAGGACAGGAAAATACACTTAATTCTATCTGTTGACAACCTTGCTTTTCAGCAGAACAGATAAAGGTACAGTATGGCGATAAACATCTTGGGGATGATAAATTGCTGTGATTACTTAGGAGCTTCCCAGAAAAATATAGCAGTTGCAAACAGCCTATGTGGAGAGAGGAAGAAAGCTGGTCTCCTAGATACTTAAATTTGGCATAACTTTTCATATTTGCAGCTCTTTGTAAATAGGCATCAGATGCAAACCGAGCATATTGTAGCAACTAAAAGTATCCAGTGAATGGAAATGTCCTTCATCCATTCAGAACATAGTGAGAAGAGTTGCTTTTTTTTTTTTTTTTCCCCATTAATACAATACCTTTCCTACAAGTCTTTGGATCCTATTTGCACGAAGAAAACAGTTAAAAGTGGGGCCAGGCTAGAAGATGGTAGCTATTGTTGCTGCTTACTCTTTGCTGCTGTTGTAAATACTTGCAGCACAGTGTAGAATCACTTACCCTGGAAAGCATGCAAACAATATAAAAAAACATACTAGGCTTTAGTGACAGTTCCAAAGTACAATGCCACTGTAGACTTTTTTTTTTTAAAGAGTCGTCTAACTTGCATAGCTGACTTGATATTCTTCTCTCTCTTCTTTAATTGACAGAGGTAGCAATTCGTGGCGGATATATCCCTGTGATGCTACTGGCAGTAAAATATGAGCTTGTCACCTGAAAAAAAGCTTCTGCAGTCCTTGAACACTGGATTTCAAATAATCAGAGCTGAATATAACTTTGTCTTTCCAGGGAATATGTTGAATAACTGGCTGCTTTTGGTAGAAACTGATGATCTAGAGCCTTGATGGTTTCAGGGAAGACTGTACATTAGAATTTGAGCTTTAGCTGCTAATAAAGCACTTATTTCTTCTTTTAATTTAAAATTCATCTCAACACTTCACTGTGATTTTTACCTGTGCATTTTGTTTTGAAATAATTCTTCCTTAAGCTTTATCATACATCCATTTAGACATCTTTTTCTTGTAAATAATGATGATGTTTGCCCACAGTGCATTGAAATGAAATAATATACTGTACTTTAGTTTTGTGCCTATCTTTTTTTTGTCTTTAATAAGGAGTTACTGGCAACTTTTATGCAGGTGTATTACTTCAAAACTATAGCTGAAGAGGCTTGAAAAATATACAACTGCTGGAATCAAAAGAGCCTTCCTACTGACTGTGGAGCATGGGAGCTATCCTGTTCTGGTGATGTTGACACTTTTAGTCACTAGTGGCACTTACTGGTTAATATTAATTAGTCCGGGAGTGACTATCAACTATGTGCTTAAAAACATACTTGTGTTACACCTGTAAACAAAGGTGGCAAAATGCCTAGTGTAATCCCTTAATATATATATATAGTATAGCTGTAGTAGATCCAAGTTGAGTGGTTGGGGTGGTGAGATAACACGTTAAGGTTTGAAGATGCAGACACTTGATTAATACCAGGAGGCTTTCTATCATGTGGGGAAGTATTTTGTCTTCCTGTAGGCTCAACAAAACAAGATTTAGTCAGCAGCAAAACAGTGCGGGAATGTTGCAGC